TTCTTCTTCTTCCTTTACTTACGTTTCTTAACGTAGTAGTTATTTACTTTACGTTACTACTATAATAGTAATTAGTTGTATACTTGTACTAATATATATATATATATATATATATATATATATATATCAGAGCCTTTTTCCAACTAATTGGGTCAGCTCTATTAATCCTAGTCTGCCATTCTGCTCTACCAAGGGTCATTCCCTCAGTGAAGCCATAAGTCTCCATATCTTTGCTCACTACTTTCAGCCATGTTCTTTTGGACCTAACCTTTGCCCTTTTTGAGCATTCCACTTGAACTAACTCACACCTCCTAACAGGTGTTGTATTGGGTCTGTGCTGCACATGGGCAATCCATAGGGATAAAAGCAAAATTATTGTAAATATTATGATTTATGAACTATTGAAGTAAATCATTACAAGGATTTGGAGTCTATTTGTTTTAGTAAAGGGACAATAAGGTATGATATTATGTTATGGGAAAATTTATATGGAGCCGAGGCTCTAAACCATCAAATTGGAGCCTATCTCAAAAATTTCACTACAAGAGGTTGTTTTGATGCTCAAATATTCTCAAATTGATCATCTCAACATCAAGATGCATGGACATGAGAAAAAAATGGATTTCAAGTTTTGAAAATAGTGTATTTTGTAACGCATTTTCAGACCATCAATTTCAAGATTTTCAAGTTTTCTTAGATCTGTCGATCTACACTATTTTTGAAGCTTTAAATTTTATAAATAAAGTTGAAAATATATTTTAAGGGTATCACAAAGATTTCCAGTATTGAAACCACATTTCTCAACCCTATTTGAAGTAGGCTCTAATTTGATTGTTTAGAGCCTAGGCTCTATACAAACTGCACCCGTTTGTTACTGTGACTCAAGGTACTTCACACATGCACACACAAATGTGTTTTTTGTGTTTTTTTGGGGGAACAGTTTCATGGTATGTATGAAACAGCTCTTTCAAAAAACTATGTTATGGGTAGTTGTGTACCCCAAATTTTGCCAAATCTGTTAACCCCAAGGATCAATCTAAAAAAAAAAGAAAGAAAATTGAAATTGCAAACTAGAAAAGGTCCAAATGTTTCCCACTCTAACAATTAATGCTAGCAGTCCATTTAGCGAGGAACATATATATATATATATATATATATATATATAGTACGTACGTTAACGTACTAACTAAAATTAAGTTTTAGTTTTTACTTAGTTGTTCGTTTGTTACTATCTAGTATAGTAGTAAGTAACGGTACCTAACTACTT